AATCATGAGAACCCCCCCCCCCCCACACACACACACACACACACACACACACACACACACACAACCTGCTGCTGCTTTGATTCAGCTTCACATTTATTAGAAAAATGTTTTCATCTCTCAGCACATTGTGAAGGAAAATTAATATTGAGGTGCATTAGATCAAATTTTATATCATTATTTGTTGCTTAGCAACAGCAATACCTAACGCAGAGATAACAAATAAATGAGTTATTTATTTTGGTTATCAGTATATAAGCAGTTTATTTCATTAATATTAAACAATAAAGTCTTATTTAGGACATCCTCTAATCCCAACGATCCTAAATCTAACTTTTCTCTCTAAATTATCATCAGATTGTGATAAAAACACCTGACACTAGCAGAAAGTATAGATTTAAATGCATATTTCTTCTTTAAGTGCAGCCGGATTCGTGGTATTCTAATAACATCCTGTAAGATGGATGGGATTAATAAAAGAGGGCATCTAAAGATGTGGGAAGGTTTTTCCTGTTCTCTAACTTCCTGTGACCTGTGGCTCGGTGCTCGTTGTGTGTTTGTGCTAATTGCTCCGCGTTGTTGCCCTCGGAGACGGCTACAGAGGAAAAAGGAAAGAGAGAGGAAGTATAATCACCATCTGTTGTCAAGGTCATTTGCTACACGATAAACACATCCATCATGAGCGGAAAACGTTCACACTAAACCGGGAACGGAGTCGTTAGTCTTGCTGACATTTCACTCCAATATTTTGGATCATTGTGCGGGACAACAGAGCAGTAAAGATCAGATATAATCACCAGACCAGATATAATCACGTCTGTGGTCTATTTATAGAAGCGCCCAACTTTCTGCTCTGAAAATAAAAACGGGGTTTTTGAAAAATTACCAACACAAGTTGGTGACATTCTCAGGTTCTGCCAGCGTCTGGTAGCGCGTTCCTGTCTGACATTCTCCGTAGAGCCTCGCTGAGAATCATTTAGCCAATTACACGAGCTTCCAAAAAGGGCAAATCCCGACGTTCTGTCAGTCATGTTTCAACTCAGATTAATCTGGAATGTCCAAACAAGAACCATGTCCTGTCGCTGAAGTCTGCTGATTTCATGGTGAAGTCAAGAGAAGAGCTGACTCAGCTGGATTTGTTGCTTTGGCTATTATGTATGTGTACCCCTGTAGAGCGCTATGGGAAAAGCATCTGCTCCCTTTGGTTCCATCAGGTGTCAGCAGACAGAGCTACTTGGTTTTGGTCATTTTTCCATTTTTCCCTAACATACCGTAATTTCCGGACTATAGAGCGCACCTCAATATAGGCCGCACCAACAAAAAGAAAGGTTTTCTACACACACACGCCACACTCAAATACAAGCCGCGGCACAGCAGCTCTCAGGCGCACAGCGCATGTATGGCCATAACATAAGATAATTAGACAGAAAGACGCTACACGGAGGTTTTTCGTTGTTGTTTTAATTCAACAAAACAGATTTTAAACACGGGTGAACGTGCCTGCAAGTTTAGAAAAGAAAACAGCACTGATAGCATTCATATTTCTGGATGGTTATAAAATAAAAACAGAACTGACACGTTATTACCGGTAATTTGCATGTTTAGAAGAAAAGAACAGCGCTGACACAGCATTAACAAGCCCTGGATGAGTAGAAAATAAAAACTGCACACAAAACATACCTGGTTAGTAAATAAAACACACTTGCCTACCAGAAGAAGTCATTCACTCTCATCTTCCTCTTGCGCACTAAAGCCATTAAAGTCCTCTTCTTCAGTGTCGGAGTTGAACAGCCTCAGAAGAGCTTCGTCACATACCTTTTCTGTGGCGATGTCAGTGTCGCTGTCCGTGTTGCTGTCATCATCCCCGAGTGAAGCTGGCTTGAATGTGTTCTTCCCGCTGCCGTCTCCAGCGCCGAACCATGGATCCATTCATGCCAAGCTTACGTGCGGCAGCACTGTTTCCCTCCTTTACTGCCAGATCGATGGCCTTCAACTTAAATGCGGCATCATATGAACTCATACATGTAGTTACCATGATGAGGGGGTATGGATTAGAAAAACATTCTTCGTCGTGCCGGCTGCTTGCATGTGCTAAATTAAAATGAGCACTTTCTTCGATTTCCACTTTTGACTTCCACCTGTTTCACTTTCTGCTAAAGCGCCCCCTGCAGGTGAAGGAAAATCTTCAGTAAAGCCGCACCTCATTATAAACCGCATGGTTCAAAGCGTGGGGAAAAAGTAGCGGCTTATAGTCCAGAAAATACGGTAGCTACTACAGCTGGTATTAAATGTATGCGTCTGTCTCTGCCGCGAATGTTCGGTTTGTCTCTCAGCACCGTGGGTGAGTGACGCAGAAAGGATATTAAGTAATTCTTAAGATAACAAGAACTAACAATTATGACTTATTTTTACTCAAAGAATTATAAATACAACTGCTGCTAGTGTGCTGATAAAGCTACGGGCTTGTCAGCAAAGGTGATTTTCCCAGACATTGTTTGGTAAAATGTGTCCAGAGGAAAAAGTACGCTAATCCAGTCAACCATACAGTGTTTACTGTGGATGTCCTGTAGGATCAAACCAATAGCTTATTGTTCTTAAGGTTCATGGATTTATAGAGAACTTAGCAAAAACTGCCTCGTGAGGGATGGAGGGAGTCTTTGTGAGGCAGCTCCCTCCATGTTTGAGTTGTACTAACCGAAAAGCCAATACCTCAACTTGTGTCCAGGCGGATGTTGGTCTGAGCCAAGCTTTGGACATTTATTACACCTCACACTCCTCGCTCACTTCCAGGCTTCTCTGTCTACATCAAATAAAGCCACCCCACACCCAGCCCCAACAACCCTGAAGGGAAAGCCGCACAAAGGTGGAGCGGCTTTAACAGCCTTAACCTTCCTCCCTCAGCACCACACGACTTCACTTTATGACAAACGTTGTGTCCTTTTTGTCCTAAAGGGAACTGTGTGGTGTTTGGATTGATGCAGAGATATTTTACCTTTTCCGTGTTAAAGGGTTTTCTGATCTGAGAATAACTAGGCTGATGGTGTAAAACGTCCTGATTTGGGTTTTCTTGAACAAACATCTTGTTTATCGGTGAAATCAGACCTCCAGGGCTGGTGGATCTGAACAGAGCTGTCTGGTTGATACAGGAGGTCAGAGAGGACAAACACCCCTGGATCAGGACAGGCAGCAATCTGAAGGACATCACTAACAACCCAACATAACCGTTTTTAAGGTGAAGCCGACCAAAGCTGGGAGGCAGACATTTATTAAGACACCTGGTTTCTGCTAGCCTGGCAAGCCAGACTAAATAAATGTATTATTTAGTCTGGCAACGCCCCATTGACGGCTCTCGGTTGTGGGGCGGGTTCTACCGTTGTCTTTCAAATGATCTCCGCATTCTACTGGACAATGAATGTGACATACTCACCACAACAGCTATCGGTAAATGAGGCGGTCCACAGTTGAAGAAGGAGAAAACATCATTTTTTCTAAAAAAAACCCACTTAAATACGTCTATCTGCTCCTGATTCTAATGAAGCCCAAGTTCTAATAGTCCAAAATTGATGTAAAAGCCGTTTCAAACGAGCTGTCGCCATCTTCTTTCACCCTGTTGCATCATCCCACCCACCAGGCATATAGAGTGCCCTGATTGGCCCACAAAGCAGGTATAAAAGCTCTGTGATTTGCTCACTAACCATATAGAGCACTATGATTGGCCCACCATTATGGACCAATCACGGCTCTTTATGTGTTTGAAACCCCTCTAGAGAGTTGTGATTGGCCAGCCAGAATGCTGTTAGGGGCTGCAGAGGTTCCAGTGGAGCGTTCCTAGCTCACTAGGCTAGGTTTCTGCTGATTTTCTCAGATTGAGGCTAAAACGAAACAAACATTTTTTTTATATAACTCAGATAATAATTAAAGAAGGATGTTGTAGTCGCGTCGGCCTCATCTCTCCGGGTCGATTTAAGGTTGGAGTCAGATCACTGACATGTTCTCTGGTCATTTGCACCAATGTAAACTTAATTATACAACGTCAGTTTGATAGATTTGAGCCCAGCTTTAGTACAAAGGTTCAGTCAGACTCTATAATGTGTTGATTCAAACAGGACTGATTCAGTTTGGAACAAGAGAACTGGTTCATCAGAAGACAAAGATTGGGTCCAGCTGTCCTCAGCACGACCAGAACCAGGAGTTAAACGGCTGTCTCTCGCTGCATCATGTGACGCTTCTTCAGAAAATGACCTTTTGGATTACTTACATAGGTCAGGCTTTTTTTCTTAAAGAGTTATTAAAATATGATGCAGACTGTTGTAATCGGGTGTGCGGAGGCTCTAAAGGGACAAAACGGACATGATGAATCATTATGAAGCTTTGCAAAGACTAAAAGAGCTCTTCTATCGCTAAAGTTTGTTTCCTCTGATTTATGAACAACTTCTCTAAATGAAGCTCAGCATAAGGATGCTATTGTAGTTTTTGATTCGGTCATTAGTTACTGATCGGAATGAAAACATTCACATTCAATCGGTACTTTTTTTATTCTCATGGCGTTACCATTACACAGCCTTCAGGTCTGTTAGAAAGTGTTTCTGCAGACCTGCAGCATGTTTGCATCTAAAATAAAGACACTGGTGTCCTTTTGTCTCTGACAGCTTTTGTTGTTTCTTAAACAAAGTTAAGTATTTTATGGAGCTTGTGTTAAAACAGTGCCTTGGGTTAAAGATGCAGAACATCCAAGCGTACCACTGGATGGCAGGAACATATGGACCGGTGCAGTTTTCTTCAGTGTCCAGCAGGCATGGCTTTTGCTCCTGCATCTGTTTGTTAAGTCCAACAGAGGGAGAGACGAACAGTTATGTCACCATAAACAGAAAAAAAATTGTCTTTGTGTTTTGGCCTCAGGTTGAGTTTTTCCAGGGACTATGGAGACAGAAAGCAGAGTTTTCTGACACCTGCTGGGAGGAAGATGAGCCTGAGAGGATTGGATCATAACAGCCGAGTCAGAAATGAAGCTTAACAGCTTCAGAGGATCCATCTTCCTGCTGCTGTCAGTAAAACCATCACAGCAAAGAAAATCAACTGATTCGGTGTGAAAAAAATAAACTATAGGACCAAGTTAGGCATCAAAGAAGAGCCTAATGACTCCTGGTGCCTTTAATGCTCAGCCGGGTTGGAATCCCAGACAAGATAATATGGTCCACTCATCAAAGTCATATTAAAAAGTCTAAACTGTAACGGAACAGAATGACTCTTAGTTTTCCCTTCTTAGCTCAGAACTAGTCTGCATGAGAGACAGTCTCAAATCTCATGCATTCCTTCTAACCTGCTTATTTTCAGCTCAACAGAAGAATGAAGAATGAACTCTTTTCTTTTAATTAATCAAAGAACTCTATTTAATAAAACCATGCCACGTCAGCTCTAACACCAGTTCAAAGCGTTCCAGAGAAAGTGACGGAGTGGCCAATCCTGATCTTTTAACTCTTTAACCAAAAGAACCAACGACAAGCTGAAAAATCCAGTCGCTATAACAACCAGCGGCAACAGCCTTTCAGAACAAAAGCCCAGCCATCCACCGACCCAGGCTTGGGTCTGACCAGACGCCAATAACGTGTCGTGTGCCGGAAGTAACTCTAGACGGGTTTGATCGGAACCGCGGCTTCTCCTACCGGCTCGGTTCCAGAGAGGGTTCACTGGACCTTGATATTCCTGATCTACAGAGGACTTCCACAAGGCAAGGTAGACCGGCAAATGGTGTCTCATGTATTTCTGAAGCTAACCAAGGCTTAATGCAAAACAACATCTTCAGTTCTCGTCAGAACTAATCGCTTCTTCGGATTTGCTGGTTCTGATTTACATCACACGTCATCCATTCACCGCCTCATCCATTTTTAGTTACACTATACATTTAGTTTCAAAGTCAGTCTGGTTTAATTTGTTAGTAATAAAATTCTTAACTTTTAAACTTGACTCTCTCTATTCTGTTGTCTCTGAGTGAATACGTAAGGGTTATCTAATCTCTGCAATAAAAAGATCCAATCTTCTGGTTTAACCCTTACCTCACATTAGAGCATTTTTTTGTGCTGACACGTGTATTTTTGTGAATAACTTTGGCTATGTTAATGCAATTTATCTAATTTTTATGGAGGATGTGTATTTTGGAAGGAATTACAAAAAAAAGTTTGAAAAAATATTCAACCTACTTTATTAAAACGTGGAAATCATTTTGTACAGTTAAGCACATTGAAGCATTTTTTTGTGCCATTGACTTTCATGTAAATCATATATTTTTAATTAGCATAAATATTGGCATAATTTTAAAAAATTATGATTGTGCCCGTGTTTACAGTCTCATCACAAATGTAAGAAGCAGTTTTTACTGTTTTTCACTACATGGCATACTTTCTCCATATATAGCAGGGCAATGGCTGACCCAGCATTTAAACTGAATGATTTAGCTGTATTTCTTTACCTCTGACTGCCCATTATAATACATATTTTGCAAAAAAATGGTTTGTGTGTTATTTAGAGATGCCATACAATAGTTTGCATGTGTGTGTTCTGAATTTTTGGTAATTGTGCTTTTTCAGTGTTCTTTCAAAAAATAAGCCTGACTGAATGTACAAAATTAGCTTATTCTGCAAAATAGCATTTTGACATGTGTTCCTTTGTGTGTGATTGTTCAGGCATGCGTGTATGTAGGTATCAAAGCACTTTACAGATCTTCAAAGGACAGATCTGTGATCATTATCTGGAGTGGTTGAGCAGGTGTGGGCCATGGGAGTGTAGGGGGGGGGGCACAGGTTCTCACACTCTGTTGACTTCATGAATATTCATCAAAGGCATGCTATATATCAAAAATCAAAGGATTTTCTGCTAAATTTCAGATACTCATTCACAATTTTACTTTTGCAAAATGTTATTTCAATAAGTACAAAGCATTTGCATGGATGAAAGCTAAGATGAAGGCTGAAAAACTTCAAAGGCATACATTTGTTTTTCAAAACAAATTCCTGCAGAATCGAATTTTGTTTACATTCAGTAGGGGCAGCTTACACAGGTGCACCAATTGACTAAAAGTACATATATGAGACTCAGATCAGGATTCATTTCTTTGAACCGCAACCATGAGAAGAAGATTCAATGTGAATGAAGCCCTGGAGGTGTTTCAGCAGCTTGAGGAAGAGGGAGAGTCAGCCTCATCCTCATCCACGGATGACAGCTCTTGTTCGGATGAAGAGGCTGAAGATCAGGCCTTTACCCCAGGGCCTGATTCAGGGGAAGAAATGGAAGAAGGTTCAGATGAGGAGGTGGTTGCTGCAGAGGAGAGATGGGACCATCCTTTGTGGCAATCAAAGAGCGGGATCGCCTGGTCCCCGACACCCGACACCAGGATCCCCTTTCGGGCTCCAGACGTCCGCCATTGTGGGATCACCCGCCTCGCTGTCAGCTACATCCAAACTATTGAGGACAGCTTCGATTTTTTTTAACTACAACAATCCTAGATGTAATAATAAAATACACCAATATAGAGGGAAGAAGAAAATATGACGATTGGACAGACGTTGACCGCGTGGAACTCCGGGCATTGTTTGGGTTGCTCATCCTCGCTGGTGTGCACCGTTCCCGTGGGGAATCATCTGCCAGCCTCTGGGGGGAGGAAACGGGGAGGCCGATATTCAGAGCCACGATGAGTTTGGGAAGGTTCCACATGCTGACTGCAACATTGCGCTTTGATGACCGCTTGACCAGGGCAGCCCGCCGGTTGGTGCAGCAGGACAAGCTCGCTCCCCTGCGGGAAGTGTCCTCTGGGCGGCCCGGCTCCCTCTCGCCTACAACCCCGGTGAAGATGTCTGCGTTGATGAACAGCTCGTCGGATTCAGAGGTCGCTGCAACTTCAAGCAGTACATGCCCTCAAAACCAGCAAAATATGGCATCAAGCTGTGGGTGGTGTGCGATGTGGCCACTTCTTATGCCTGGGGGATTATTCCCTATCTGGGCAAGACGACTCGAGACGCCCCGGCAGAAAGGGGGCAAGGGAAGCGGGTGGTGCAGGAACTCACGGAGGGTCTGAGCGGCCGCACTGTCACCACGGACAATTTTTTCACCTCGCTGGTTCTTGGAGAGGAGCTGCTAAAAAAAAAAATCTGTCTTGTGGGAACAGTTAGGCGCAACAAGCCAGAGTTGCCCCCACAGCTGCTCCAGATGAAAAGCAGAGCGGTTCTGTCCTCCCTGTTCGGCTTCACCTCCACCGCCACCGCGGTGAGCTACATTCCAAAGCGCCGGCGGAACGTTCTGCTCCTCAGCACCAAACACCATCAGGTTCAGATCCAGGAGGGACCGCAGCAGAAGCCGACCGTAATCATCGATTACAACCGCTGCAAAGGGGCAGTTGACAACTTGGACAAGGTAATTTATTTATTTTATTTTGTTTTATTATAATTCACCAACCTAATTGCATATGTAATTTATTTATTCATTTATTTTTATTCCAGCTCGTTGCAACATGCAGCTGCCGCCGCAAGACCAGACGTTGGCCCATGTCGCTCTTCTGCAACATGTTAGATGTGAGCGCCTATAATGCCCTGGTCCTGTGGCTGTCTGTGGAACCGGCCTGGAACCAACAGAAGAGGAGCATCCGTCGAAGGCTGTTCTTGCAGGAGCTTGGGACCTCCATGGTGAGACCAGCCCAGGCGAGGCGCACTCGCTTGCCGCGGTCCAGCAGCGCTGCAGCTCTGTTGGAGGTGCAGCAGCAAGTGGAGCCAGGTCCAGCCCAGGAGCAGACAAAGAAAAGATGCCACCTTTGCAGAGGGAAGAGGAGCGTGCATGCACGCTTTTGCCATGCATGTGGACAGGCTGTGTGCAAGGAGCACTCAACAGTTGTGTGCTCAGCCTGCAGCTGTTAGCTCACTCCCTTCTGTGTTTCTCTCTCTTTCTCTCTCTCTCTCTCTCTCTCTCTCTCTCACACACACACACACACACACACACACACACACACACACACACACACACACACACACACACACACACACACACACACTTTTTCTTTGTTCGTGTGCTTTAATAAAGTGTTCAACTGGTCATCTTTGTAAGTGCATTTTTTTGAGCTCTAATGACTTTAACGTGAGTATTTTAGAAAATATGACATTACACAAAAACTACAAAGTGAGCAAAAAATATTTTTATGCCTATTTGTGACACTCCAAGGCTGTGACAACTTACCCACAAAAAAGGTCATCTGGACATAACACACAAAAAATGATTTGATTTTTTCATTTTTTGTACAGTTTTCAAACTTCGGGTTTTGCTAATAAACCTAGCAATAAAGGGGTTAAATCTGAGAAACACACACATATTTTATTATATTTTGTTAGGGCTGAAGCCAAGGATGAAATTCATGTAAAAAAATTGGGACTTATGAAATTTTATATAATATTTCTATGGGAAGCTTTCTAAGTGCATTTTTTTGTGCTCTAATGACTTTAACGTGAGTATTTTAGAAAATGTGACATTACACAAAAACTACAAAGTGAGCAAAAAATATTTTTATGCCTATTTGTGACACTCCAAGGCTGTGACAACTTACCCACAAAAAAGGTAATCTGGACATAACACACAAAAAATGATTTGATTTTTTCATTTTTTGTACAGTTTTCAAACTTTGGGTTTTGCTAATAAACCTGGCAATGAAGGGGTTAAATCTGAGAAACACACACATATTTTATTATATTTTGTTAGGGCTGAAGCCAAGGATGAAATTCATGTAAAAAAATTGGGACTTATGAAATATTATATAATATTTCTATGGGAAGCTTTCTAAGTGCATTTTTTTGTGCTCTAATGACTTTAACGTGAGTATTTTAGAAAATGTGACATTACACAAAAACTACAAAGTGAGCAAAAAATATTTTTATGCCTATTTGTGACACTCCAAGGCTGTGACAACTTACCCACAAAAAAGTTAATCTGGACATAACACACAAAAAATGATTTGATTTTTTCATTTTTTGTACAGTTTTCAAACTTCGGGTTTTGCTAATAAACCTGGCAATGAAGGGGTTAAATCTGAGAAACACACACATATTTTATTATATTTTGTTAGGGCTGAAGCCAAGGATGAAATTCATGTAAAAAAATTGGGACTTATGAAATATTATATAATATTTCTAAAGGAAGCTTTCTAAGTGCATTTTTTTGTGCTCTAATGACTTTAACGTTAGAAAATTTAAACGTTGGGTAAGGGTTAAATAACCCTGTGTCCATTAGATGGGACTCATACTCGATATGGATCTTTAATGTCTATGGTCATTAATTAAACTGTAATTCTAAATTCATTACAAAACTAATAGCAAGAATTAAGAAATTTATACTGAAAACAAAACACATCAAAGAAAAAATTGTAAGTGAACCCAGGATTAAACATCAAATGAAGGTGGCCCTCAGCTTCAGGCCCTCCCCATTGCCATGGAAACCCCTCAACCTACCAGCTGGTGGGGAGTACTCACTAACTCTGACACCCACAAAGGAGAAAGTTCAGGACATTTCAAAATACATTTAAGTCTCATGCTTCAGTAACCAGAGGAGTACGTCAGAATTCTGCCTCCCTGTGAAGCAGACAGTACCCGCAGGTGAAGGCGAATTATGCATGCTCACGCACGGACCCAGGTGGGAGGAAGTCAGGAAAACTGTGAGCATCATTGTTTACTCTTGTGGCTTCCTGCTTCTGTTGAGTGATTTGTTATAGAGCGGAGTTCTTTTGCAGCAAAGCCAGACTTATTTAGGTAATTTACCAGAGAAAATGTTCCTTTTCCTTCTTGTTTCTGAATTTGTTGAATTTTGGGAAATGCATTTTAAAGGGCTTTACAAATATCTGGAATCCTTTCTTGGTCTTTCTTTGAAGCTTGAAGGCAGAGGGGCTGTCTCCAGGTCACCCTAACGGTAAGGGTTAGGGCTAGGTCCCTCGGCTCTGACCTTCCAACTCACAGATGTGGAGAAAAGCCAAACTTCTCAGCAGGGATCACTAAAGCATGTCATTCACTCATTAGTCCTCCTCCCACCTGATTATAAATGTGTGAAAATGAGTGACAAGTGGCTTAAATGTGTCTCAGATTAGGTCTTCTGGAGAAAAGTGATGATGAGGTGGATTTTGTCTTTTAATTTAGGAAATTATGACAGATTAAAATCTTACAGAAGCCATCAAGTCTAAAGTGTTAATATCGAGATGGGACCAAGTTACTGCTTTGCAAGTCACAAGTAAGTCACAAGTCTTTCCAATCAAGTCTCGAGTCAAGTCCAAGTCAAAGACAACCAAGTCCAAGTCGAGACCAAAGTCAATGATGTGGAAGTCCAAGTCAAGTCCACATCCTTAACTTTGAATTTTCAAATCATATTCAAGTCATCTGTCCAACTTCAATTTAATGACAATGATGATAAATAAATTCCAGACATAAAGCTTCTTAAAGCTTCATTTATTCAGTCAAACAGCAGAAAGTTCAGCTGAACTGGATTCTAAACAAAGGTCTGCTGTATTCAGCAGAACAAGATTAAACCCGTAACCAAGAATGATTTATGATTTTTGTCCATGTCAGGCCACTCTTGTGCTAAATACCAAATATGCTCAAGACATCATCAAGTCAACAGATGCAAGTCGATTCAAGTTACAAGTCATTGAAGTTCAAGTCCGAGTCAAGTCGCAAGTCTTTGTAGATTTTATCAAGTCAAGTCAGAAGTCATTAAAATAATGACTCGAGTCTGACTTGAGTCCAAGTCATGTGACTCGAGTCCACACCTCTGGTTAATACACGTCATGAGAAGATCTACGTTCCTACCCTCACCTATGGTCACGAGCTTTGGGTAGTGACCAAAAGATCATGATCACAGATACAAGCGGCCAAATTGAGTTTTCTGTTCAGGGTGGCTGGGCTCTCCCTTAGAGATAGGGTGAGAAGCTCGGTCATCAAGGAGGGGCTCGGAGTAGACCCACTGCTCCTCCACATCGAGGGGAGCCAGTTGAGGTGGCTCAGACATCTAGTTAGGATGCCTCCTGGATGCTTCTGTGGTGAGGTTTTCTGGGTATGTCCAACTGGGAGGAGACCTGAAGGTAGACCCAGGACATGCTGGAAGGATTATGTCTCTCACCTAGCCAGGGAGCACCTTGGGATTCCCCCGGAAGAGCTGGCCCATGTGGCTGGGGAGAGGGAAGTCTGGGCCTCTCGACTTAGGCTGCTGCCTCCACGACCCGACTCTGGATAAGCAGACAAAACAAATGGATGGATCACGAGACTCACAGTTAGAAAGAGATCAAATAAAGTAGATGTTTTCTATTCATAAGTTATTTAGCCTTTAAAGGGTAATTTAGCAACTTTTTCATATTTCTAAATAATTTTCCTGAGCCAGTGTGTGCTAAAACGACTCTTTCCAGGGTTAATGAAAGGCTACGCAGCCTCTATCGCTCCCTGAGGCCAGAACACCCCTACTGAACACTGGAAGCATTGGCGGTGCAGAACAGCAGTGGAACATCGCTGCTGCAAATAGAATCCATTAAAGCAGGAGTACTCAATAGTCGGCCCACGGGCCAAGTCCGGCCCACAGTCCAGGCCCAGCCCACGGGGTCTTTCTTTGTGGCCCCCGAACCACCACCTCCCGCCCCCTGGTCCGACCGTTGCATTTGCGCTGGTGGGGTAGGAACGGTGCTTGTGTGTATTGGTGTTTGGTTATATTGTACTGGTTTGTGTGGAGTATGATCCACCAGCACATCTCCCCCCAATCTCCAAACAAACCAGAACCTAGTGTAACAGTGGAGGTCATCAACAACCTTAGACACCACCTCCTTCCTCACTTAGAAGAGGCTCATTCCACATAATGTGAAGTAAATCTGTTAAACAGTCATTCATCAATATAGTAATATAAATATGTGAATATGCTGATAATAAATCATCATTAAATTCAACAAGTAGACTCAATTGGTGTATTTAAGATCTGAAATAAAGCATTATTTCATTATGACTTCTCCTGGTCGTGGGTGGCAGACTGACGAAGCAGTCTACGTTACAATGGCTGTAGGACTTCCTGGCAGTGAAGAGGATCAACATCAGGGGTGTTTCTCAGTGCCAAGGAACCTTGCCTTGATTTCTTGGCGCCTCCTCGTTTGCCTAGGAGATACGTCATCGGGAGCCACCAAGACGTGTTCCAATCGGTTCCAATGTTCATGTTCTACCGAGGCATGTGTTCTCCGTTTGTTAGCCGTTTCGCTAGCTGAGCAAGGAGGGAGGTGTCTTGTAGCCTATCCTTGGTCAAAAATTACCCAGAATACACCGTGGTATTTTCAAAAAGACGGCGGATCAGAAGCCGGCAGCTACTTCGGGGACAATTTTCAAGTTTAAAAGTATGTCAGCTAATTTAAAATGTTTTTTTTTTAATCCAAAGAAGTTATCTATTTTTGGTTAGTTGCTTACTAGTTACAGCTTCGGTGGCTAGTGGGTAGTAACTCGCTTATATTTT